AGAAGAAGAAGAAGAAGAAGAAGAAGAAGACGAAGCTGAAAAAGAAAAAGAAGAAGAAGGAGGAGCAGGAGGGAGAGGAGGATACGCAACGGCAAGAAAAACATAATCATAATAATATGTAAAAAGGAAAATAAGGAAGGAAAGAAGGACAATAAACATCAACAGCAACAACAACTTCAATGACAGCAGTACCAAAACAACAACGCCAACAACATGTACCATTAACCCAACGGTGAGTCGGGAGCAGCAATCTTTCAGTGAGGGGTAAAGAATCGTAGATTCTACGTGGAGTTTACATATAGACAGACAATTCACAGACAGACAGACTGACTGACAAACAGACAGAAATACACACACACACACACACACACACACATACACACACACACAAATACACACAGACACAGACACACACACACACACACACAAACGCGCACGCGCGTAATTTTCGAATTAGTAATGCACCTTTATTAATCACATATATACTATAATATTAATGATAATAGAGAGTATTTGTAAAGCGCAAATTCCAGCTCAACAGTTTAAGCTCTCTATGCGCTTTACAATCAATACTATTTCCTCAGCAGACCTGATAATATTCTAAAACAATCTCAACTTCCTTCGAAGCATACAGTGCAAGCTGTAATTTCAAAGGGGCTAGAATACTAGTATACACTACAGACAAGATCTTTCGCTTTCTATGGCACGGTACCCATTCCCACCTGGATGAAATGGGGGGAAATTCGTGTAAAGTGCCTTTCCCAAGGACACAACGTGGGGCCTGAGGCTCGAACCCCCGAACCCGCAACCTCAAGATTATGAGTCTGCTGGCCTAACCTCTAGACTACAGGCGCTCTCAACTATTTCACGTATCATTGTGCAAATAGAAGGATTCCAAAGATTTTATTTAGAATCATAGAACCAACAGTTTACATCTTCACAACCAACTTTACCCCAGATTTTTTCCCAACATCTCACCAAGTTTTGAGCCTGCCAATTTCTCTTTAAAACAACGATGGAACCTTTCATTCTGAGAAGGACTGAAATAGTCTTTCCACCCTCCCGAAGTCCCTTTGTAAAGCACGACGTCAGTGTTCTCCTTAAGTATGGCTTTTTCCAGTTGTCCCACCTTACCCTGTTTTAGAACAGACTTCATGCTGTCGAAACGAGTGGCTTCCTCAATGGCTTCTGCAACACTCTCGTCTCGTCCCAAAAACCGGCATAATTCTCGGATAACCCGAACTGGTTCTGCTTTCAGTTCTTCGTATTGCAGAAGATGCACAGGTAGCTCTGGGTGGGCAGCGATGAAGGCCTCGGTTTTCAGGACGAAGTCGAAGTATGAGCTCCAAAGAAATTCTCCGGCCATCTGAAAATGTGTGTCAAAATGCAATCGAAAGAAAAGAGGTTATTAGAGAGAGACTTTGCCTTGGTTATAATAATAATAATAATAATGAAGATCATTTCTTTAGTTCTGTTATGTTATTATTGTGTTATCGATTCATTTTTTTTGGGTATTCTAAGCACAGATTATATTATTACATGTATTTTTAATGAAAGGATGTCATGATATAATACATGTAGTTACATGAGTGTATGTAACTACTCATACGCTCACGGGATACTGTTTGTACGCTGTTACAGTTGCTGTTGCGTTGGCAGGATGAGGATGGCATTTAAAAATATCTTAGTGCATTAATTTTTCTTAACAAATCTTTGTCGGGGCGCTCTGTTGACCCAGGTTTTCGTCTTCTAGAACAACCCCCTCCACCCCCCCCCCCCCGTAAACACGACCTACAAATAAGCAAACAAAGGCAAAAGAGTAAGAGGTAGATAAAGAATAACTTAGAATGTTTTAACAGACGAGTGATGGTAAAACACAAGAGTAGTGAAGGTTTTATGAGGAGCATTCGAGCAGAGAAATGAGTAGCGAACTATAACCTCTGATGTCTGTGCCAGCTGGATCGGAAAAGTGTGTCTGTGCCAGATCTGGCACTCGAAGAAGAAGAAGAAGAAGAAGAAGAAGAAGAAGAAGAAGAAGAAGAAGAAGAGGAAGAGGCAGAGGCAGAGGAGAGGGAGAGAGAGGGAGAGGGAGAGGAAGAAGAAGAAGAACAAGAAGAAGAACAAGAACAAGAACAAGAAGAACAAAAAGAAGATGAACAAGAGCACCAGCAACAACAGCAGCAATAGACTTGCTTCAACCCCTGGAGAGGAGTCGGCATCGAAATGACGTACAAATGTACATGTATTTGAGTCTAGCAAGTTGATAATGTCCCACAAAATAATGATTTTAAAAATACTGTTGATGTTCATTGCTCTTGCTTGCTGACAATGTGAGTTCGGTCCTCAAGTGAAGAATTCGTATTTAAAATAATAGTCCGTCTTTCTGATTGTATGGCTGTATCCAGCAGCCAGCCCTCTGAAACTCAAAGACTCTAAGTGCTGTTGATATGGATGTAAAGATTTATAATTTCGGATAAACATTTTGTGAATTACTATTGATATACGATAGTCGGTAGGTCGACATTAATACAAACAGTGTCTGGCAGCCACTGTGGATCTACATTAGAGGTTTGTTCATCTTGCAACATTATGTCTATAAGATTGGCTCTTTGTTCTATCACCTTTGTCTTCGTAAACAAAACTTCCAGGGTAAAGCACTGACACATAGATGTATTGCAGTCAGTCGAAAATCTTTACCAGAATGCACTGGATGAGAATAGAAATCCAATTTCAATTTACATTGTTGATACATCGTGGGAAAATTTGGTTTACAATGGCGTAACATATTATGTTGTGCAGTCGTGAATACGGTACACATGGATGAATTAATAATATATAGACACACAGTGATACATATGCTATGCATATTATAGACACCTTATAAATGCGCCATTTTTCATCGCCACAGTGCAGTGCCCCGGTTTTTGAACTCGGGTAAATTGCTCAAAGACACACTCCAGTGACCACCAATTTGAACCACGTGTCACCATCACTTGCTTGACATTATTTGTGAGTCAGAACTCACTAACCATTCTGCCACTGGACCCCTGCTGGGGTTTCGATCTGACAGATCTATAAAATGTGAGGCAATGTGGTGAAATCAGGCGCTCGTAAAGACAATGAAATCGAAGACATCACATTTTCCCGCCAATTGGGAAATTTTAATAGATTTGTTTAGGGCTTAAACTTTTCATGTCCATTTAAAAACAGACTCCAAAAACACATTTCTGTGTGGGTTGTACTGAAAATAGTTCATCAAAGGCACACAAAAATAATAAATTTGCAGTGTCCAAGAGCATCAAGCTTGGAAGTCCCCAAATTTTAGAAGCCATTTTCTCGCTACGGTTATTTTACATCTGACATCAGACGATCCCCACCTCCTTTGATTGCAGCTGTCTCGACTTCTATTCAAGATACACGGGTGGTTTAAAAAATCAAAACCAAGGCACATGAATAGGCTTTAAGGTTATACTATTAACTCTATATTTTGCTCCCAAATTAACGAGTGCCTGGTTCCACTACCCTAATGTGAGTTGTGACACACGTTCCTTTCGGTCCTTCAGACCTTACACAGCCTAACAAAAAAAAACCCAGCTTACCTGAAGCTCAAAGAACTCGTCCCAGGAACCGAAGAAGCCCAGATTTTCATTCTTGTAGGATGACGTCAATCTGTACCAGGATACCCAGGCATCTTTAGGGTTTCGGAAGAGAAAAATAAAACGTGCCCTTTTCTCTGTTGCCTGCCGGGGGAGGTACTCTGGCCAGTAATGCGAGGTCAGGAGGCGGGGCGAGGGCAGCGTGGGTACGACCTTCTCAAGGGTTTCTGTGCTCATGAAGTCCAGGCAGCTCTCAAAGTAAGTGGAATCCCCAACTTTTGCCTTTTCGTCCAAAATCAATCTGAGAATTTCATAGGTCCAGTGATTGCCACTCCTCTGATACCCGTCGAGAATGACGTCATCAGAATTGATCTCCAGGGCCCCGATTTTGTCGACAACGCTCTTTATATCCGCTCCTTGGAACTTCATCAGAATCATGCCGTTAACAGTCTCAGTGTGCAATTTCGCCATTTTGGCGCGAGCACTCTCCAAGATATCAAGAGCAGTATTCGTCTCAGCCATGGTGAAAAATTATTATTTTAGGAGGGGGGGGGGCACAGTGGTTGTACAGCGGAGAGTCAGGAGCTAATGCAGGTCGCTTTTCGTGGAATGTGTCAACTGAAATATATGAGAACAAAAGATACATTATGATGACCAGGATAATGAATGAGATACAGTTGAACCAGTCCAAGATAATTGCTCATTGTCGGGTAGAAAAGTGGATATCTTAGATAGGTGGTTGTGCCATCATATTAAAGAAAAAAGCAAACAAACGCAAAGGCTGTGTGTGTGTGTGTGTGTGTGTGTGTGTGTGTGTGTGTGTGTGTGTATGTGTGTGTGTGTGTGTGTGTGTGTGTGTGTGTGTGTATGTATGTGTGTGTGTGTGTGTGTGTGTGTGTGTGTGTGTATGCGGAAAGGGGCGGGGTGGAGTGGGAATTGGCCATTTGCAAGTACGGTTGTCTTTGGCAGGTGGTAGTTAAAGCAGAATCAGATGTACGTGGCTGTTGAAGAGAGAGTTGTGCGTGTGCCAGGTGTGGGGTTATTGGTTAATTAAATGTGTTTCAAAGCTGTCTTGTAGGAAGAAGAAAAGCCTCATGTCTGCCGCCATAATGCATTGTTTTTCGGTGAAGTTGATTTGTTGAGAAAATAGGACGGTTTACAAAAAATTACGGGGCTTTTAAACAATCCATGGGTCACTTTGAAAAACCAGTATAAATACATAGCCTATATAGAATGTAGTCGTCGCTCAATGTAGATCTACTCTCTAAGAATATTCGAAAGCTCATAATAATATAAATTTATTTCATGAGTTTTGGCATTTCGTGACTTATTTTGTTTTGGCTATATAGAAAAACAAAACCAATGATAAAGCTGTTTGACTTCATGTAGGTCTATAGTCTATGTAGACCTCTGCCTCGTCATAATTAGCATGTTTGCTTCTCTATGAATTCGACGCAGGTAAGGGAATGTAAAGAATTAGAGCAGGAAATGGCTTTATCTTTTTTGGGCCCCCAAATCTTCTCACCGTACCAGTACGTTAGAGAATTGTTCCTGTTGGAGCAAATATAAGCTGGAAATAACCAAAACATTTTCTTTCGAAACACTTGGTAAATACTTGCGATTCTTTTAGATAGCATTCCTAAAACATGGTAACTGAAACGTAAATGATGATTATATAAGCTGTTACATGTATAATAGACCTAAAGCAGCATTATTGTAACAACACCAGGACTAGAGAAGAACTGTTTCGTTAACTTTAAGGTATCAGGATTCTTTGATATCATGAACAAATCAAGATTTTGCTGTATTTTTTTTTTGCCCCCTATGTGTACCAACACCATTTATGAATAAGAGTCAAGAGAAATAAAAGTAACACTCAGTCTCCTTTTTAGTTAATCAAGGTTTTTGTATACCCATGTCAATTCTAGTCGCTCTTGGCAACAGTCTGTTTACAATATTACACAGGTTGCTACCCTACCCTCCCAAATGGCAATTTGAAGCGCAAAAAGCGAATACATGTATAATAAAACAAGAACTCTTCCAAACGGACGGTGCTGAGTTTACTGTTTCTCGTGGACTCGATCCTACCTCAAAGTTTAGCTTTTGTCTGAACTTAGAGTTTCAATGTCCTTACAATTCCTTGTTGATTTTTGTTCGTTTTCTCAAAACAATGTTTTGGGTTTACATAGGCCTGCTTGTTTTTACAATCCATAAAATCTCTGTTGTTCAAGACATTCATCCGAAATTTCGAACACATATTCCCAAGATTGTAGTTGTAGTGCATGTCATAAACCTAAAAAAGAAAAACGGCTCCATCTTGAAAACTGTAGTTTAAAATGATTCTTGCCTACATAATTAGGCTACTTAATTTTTTTTCATCACTTGCTGATTCAACATCTATACAAATTCACAATTTTGTCGCAGTAACTACTTTTTAAGGTTTGTAGCATGCATTGTGTATTCAAAAACCTTTCCTGAAAGTCTCATGTACAAATTCTAAAAGGTGTATGAGATGCAGTCTTCCAAGTAACATGCCTATATTTTGCCTTCGGCTGCCTTATTGGAAGCCTAATTTGCATATTCAATTTTTTTTTCGACATTCAAGCATTTTTTTTTCATCTGTTGGGTACATACATATGGTTAGATCTATTGCAAGGCATGGTAAGAAAACAGCAAGTTCTAGCATCCTGATACCTTAATGAATTATAACATTGCAAAACAAATTCTTACTTTATTTTCTTCGTTTGGCGCTTACTCTAGACCCCCCTCCCCCTCCAGGCTGTCCTGGGAGCAGGGCACAACCTTCATCCTCAACTCCTCGCATAAAGCGACCAGAAATTGGATATAAGTCGCCATCTTCATCCCTAGCATTTGTCTTATAAAGGTAGATTTAGGCCGAAAAACCACATGGAGTCCGCTTCTATTAAGTGATGACATTGATAGAGTGTTTTTTGCCCTACTTCTATGCTATCAGAATTTCAAAACAGTGAAAGGAGTGTGGCCACAATGCAATTGCGTCCTGTAAAAAAGATTAACATGTCTTTGAAGCTAACGCGTGTGCTTACAAGTTATCGCAGTCTGTATTCGTCTCAGATCCGAAAGACACTTCTGTGATCGTCGCAACATGTAAATGTAGAAGGCCTGAAAAGCTGTGCCCAGTCGACCAGAGAATTACACGGTCGCTTAAAATGATAGCAACAAAATCACCAACAATAAAATGCATACACACACAAGCTAACACTTGTAGGCATACATGTAGCAATATTGGAGGACCAGAAGCGAAATTGTGTCCAGTACCACGTCAGACACCACATTTTATAGGTCACAATAAATTAGTGAAAAGGGGAAGGCAGGCCAGTAGTATTAAGTACGGTACACACAATGTCATATCAATTACTTCGTTATTCTATCCCATGTGATAGCACACGACCGCAATTTTAGGACATCATTTTTTAAATCTAAGAGTGTCTCTGTATATTGAGGACAAAGAAAATGTTTAAAGCATTAGATCTAATAATTATTGCATGAAATAAACACACAAACAAACTCACGCACACACACACACACACACACACACACACACACATACACACATGCACACACACACACACACACACACACACACACACACACACACACACACACACACACGTTCACACATACACACACACACGCACACGTTCACACACACGCACGCACACACACACACACACACACACACACACACACACACACACACAATGTATACGTATTATAAACTCCAAATTCTGGTATTAGTACAAACAAAAGTTGTTAAAAATGACAATCAAACAGCTGGCCGATGAATTACCTCATTTAGATACCACAGATAAAACTCCCTGCTGCACTGGATCGTCAATCGCGACACGCTATTATTAAACTCGTGAAGCCACAGGTTGATAAATTTAAGCAACTGAAAGCAACGAATGTAATACAGTGTTCACGTTTCTGAAGGTCTCGTATCATCTTCTTTTGAACTGCACTTGACGTCAAGAACGAAAGCAGCCCATCTTCACTCCACTTTCCAATAGAAAAATCCCGGTCTAGTTTTGCTTCAGAAATTTGCTGAATCAACATTAGCGCCATAACTGCGGCTTCGAATGCAGGCCGAGGCATGTGTTTCAGGTTACACGAAACTAATAATTCATTGTGTTTGGTACGCCACGGCCATGGCGCGGGGTGGGTCCTAACGAGGTCGGGGCTTGCCCTGAAAAAAAAACAACAACATGTGATCCATCAGTCATTTTTTTGTGTGGTTTTTTGTGCTTAAATGGATGAGTAATGGCTGAGAAGTCAGTCAAGCGTACATGATAAAGAGGCAACGTGAGAATAATATTATATGATAGCCTTTTCATGTTAGCTTATACATGTAGTAATGTCAAAAATTCCTGGCGCAACATAATAATGATATTGCCAAATATTTCCTCAACTATCCAGCATATATATGTATAAAGTATAAACTCTCCAGGTTTTGCACTATGACTTATTCTTATATCAATTAGTCTTAACAGATCACTACTTTTGTAAACACCTGCCGGCTATATTATTCCTTAATAAACGCTAATTAAAAAAAAACCCCAGTGGGTGGTTTCTATAGATTATAAAAGGTTTGAGTTTTAGTAGCGATTTTACGGCGCTCACAACTGCATAAATAAGGTCATATGAGCGCCAGAAGATTAGAGGTGTTACAAGAGAGTAACAAACATAAAAAATAAGAATGGGAAATAAGGACGATAGATGTTTCATAGGAAAAAAGGAGTAAACCACACCAGAGCACACGCCAACCACCCACTTTATAAGGTTTACTGCTGGGACAATATCACTTTTTTAAAAGGCAAGTCCGTCACTTTTTTTTTCTAATTGCGACATTATGCTAATTGAACGCATGTTTTAAGAAGCTTCAGTGCAAAAAACACACAAACAAACACATAAACAAACAAACACACACACACACACATACACACACACACACACAACACCCCCCCCCCCAACAACAACAACAAAAAGACTTAAGAGTTCACTATAAAATTAATTTCTTGATATGAGTTCTGCAACTAAAATGTGTCATTGCTGGGCTGTGTGACGTAGGCCATATTCCCGTATATAAAATGTGAGTGAGAAGCCGGAATAATTCGATTTTCCGGGTGATGGAGGTTTATAAATATTTTATATAAACTTATGACGAAAGGTTTTTTAAATTTCGCCTCGATTGTGGTGTGAAATTATTATGAAGATAAGACAGTTTGATAGAAACTGCTGTGGAGAGTATGGGTGGCATTGATTCACGAGAGAGAGAGAGAGAGAGAGAGAGAGAGAGAGAGAGAGAGAGAGAGAGAGGGGGAGAGAGGAAACGTTCGAGAAGAGAGACCGAAATACTCGTTAAAAAACTATTCCTTCTCGGGAAGCGGGCTCTCGTCGTAGTCAAGAGGCTACGGTGTGCGCCTCTCATTCAACAGGTCCGGGGTGCAAAACCTGATAAAGAAAATATTTCCTTCTCTAAAACTTTCTCTTTTCCTGTTCTCAAACTCAAAGCATTATCTATCGTCTCCTTTCGTCTCCACTTTCTGCCACGACCACCATCCACCTTTGCCCCCTCCTTTGGGCTCCTGCCTCTTTCTGTAGCCTTTCTACTGCTACTTGGCTCCTTCTTACTGCTGTCGTTCAGCCCCACCTCGAAACTTAAGGGCAGGTAAGATCTTACACCTAACCCTCTCGGATAAGGGTGAAAAAATCCATGTGCAAGTAGCGCACGTTAAATATATCTTAGGGGTCCAAAATCGATAAGAGAAGGCTTCAGCCGTCACCCGAGCAAAATTCGAAATTAATTCCTACCAGACTGAAAATGTTTAAGCAAGTAGCTATACTCCAGCGTCACGCCACCGGTCTATTACTAATAATTTGTCGGCGCAGATTTGCAAATATGCCTCTCTCATCTGTTTGTCTTGGGAAAAAATTCCCATAACTTCATCACTTCGTACCTTTTCCATTGATACAGACGATAGGTTTTCAGACACAAACTGCCCCAATTCCTCCAATTTAGAATTATGTTAGGTGCTAGAAGAAACGTGTTCACCAAAAGTGACGCGAGTTCATAACAAAGAGTGAGCATAAGAAGAAGTTACATTTTCACTGTTTACAAAAAACTGAGATACGACAAGAAAGCACCAAAGTAGCGAAACATCGTTAAATTTATCGAAAATTATAACAATAAGAGATAAGTTAAAAACAGCAAGCTATACTATATGACCAGACAGGGATTTTAGACACAAAATCAATTTAATTCGTTTAAAGAAACAGAATCATTATTTTAAAATGAGCAAAAGGTATGCTTACTAGGCCTACAGATCTAGTTATTGTATCTCAAAATCTGCGCCGACAAATACATTGCAATTCGTAAGTAATAGACCGGTAACGTGACGCCAGAGAAAAGTTTCCGATCTATTGACCGGCGCCACGCGGAGAATAGCCACTTGCAATGTATAATGTGTCCCGCGCGCACATACGACCTTGTGCAGTTACGAGCGCCATGAAGAAGGCCTACTTACTCGTACCAATTACAACTCGGCTATCGAACCCGGGTCTTCTACGTGCGACAGCGAAACACCTAACTGCTACACCACAGACGCCGGTAAAATAATACAGGGTGATTCAAACAGAATAAACAGATTTTATGACGCATAATTGTGTCAGTTCTCAAACGTCGTTATGGAATGAGTCAGTGACCATTTGAAAGAGGTGTTGTCTAAGTTTGGAATAATAAATAAGAATGAACCGATTTATGACTCATTTCTTCAGTTAGGCAAGCATCATTATGGAATGAGTCAATTATTATTTGACAGGAGTAATCTAATTTTTGAATGGCTGTCAGAGGGGGTGCTGTTGCCACGTCGTTCTTCCTTTGAAGGGGGAAAAAAAACAATGTCACAGGACAAAGCGACCTCGATATGCTCCAAAACTGACTCTTCACATCACCGCAGCAAGCAGATTCGCATGGCTTCATTTTCTAACAAGATGGAGCATCGCCCTATTGGCATCTGACGTTACGAGCTTTTTTTTTTAGACCAAATGTCCAAGCAATGGATTGGTCAGAAAGGGTCCCAAGATCTTGCTCTCTGTGCTTGGTTTGTCAGATCGCCAGACCTAACCGTGCGTGATTTTTCTTGCAGAGACATATCATTGTGAAAGATCGCGTTCATGTTCCACAGCAACCCATTAACCTCGATGCCGTTAAACATCGAATAACAACATCAATCAACTCAGTGGACCGTGATATTATTCTGAAACGCGCCAGGGATGAATTCTCTCATCGCATTGATGTTGCCTGAGCTGCTAATGACTAGTGGTAGCCACACTCAACACCTCTAAGAAAGGAAATAAAAGTTGTTTATGAGTATTTTACTTGTTTTTTTTTTGTCGATTGCTTTTTGGTTTGAACCGTGAATCCTTTTAAATATTATCTCTTTTGCTTTTCATTCACAAAACAATGTAAAATTTGTACTGGTTGATGTGACCAAGTCTTTTGACATTGACCTTATTTCAAGAGATTTTTAAAAAAGTAAAGTGAATTCCAAATAAATACTGTAGGCCTTTTCTACACGATTCACTGTGTTACAGAAAGAAAAAAAAATCATTCAAATGCAGAACTAGTTCAACTGACTGATCCGACACCAAAATGTGCTTTTTCTCATTGTTTGTCCAATCTCCATACAGAGAGCGCAGGTGTAGAATCTAATATAATATGCGGTGTTCAAGATTTAAGGTATCATTGTTTCATTTATTTTTGTGGAGGGCATTCGTTTTTGTTTTAAGTCATTTCTAGTGTGTGTGTGTGTGTGTGTGTGTGTGTGTGTGTGAAAGAGAGAGAGAAGGCAGAGAGAAAGAGAGAGAGAGGCAGAGAGAAAGAAAGAGAGAGAGAGAGAGAGAGAGAGAGAGAGAGAGAGAGGGGGGGGGGGGGGAGCGTGTATGTGTGTATATATGCGCGCGCGCATGTGTGTGTGTGTGTATGTGTGTGAAAGAGAGAGAGAGAGAGAGAGAGAGAGAGAGAGAGAGAGAGAGAGAGAGAGAGAGAGAGAGAGAGAGAGAGTATGTGTGTATATGCGCGCGCGCATGTGTGTGTGTGTCGTGTGTGTGTGTGTCGTGTGTGTGTGTTTGTGTGAGAGAGAGTGTGTGTGTGTGTGTGTGTGTGTGTGTGTTGACGAATGCGTGTGCATGTATGGAAGGAGATAAATAAATCCTTACCTTAATTAACCGAATCTTATCTTATCATCTCATCTTGTATTTTATTTTGATTTATTGTCCTCAAATGGCACATTTTGTTCAAATGTGAATTTCATCTCAAATGCTCTTCAAATCCCTTCAACACCAAAACTAGTAGTCGTGCACTGACGACAATGCCTTCATCAATCAATGAGCACGACAGGCAGCCGATGTAACAATACACCATGGATTTTTTGCTAAATTAGAATGCATGCCGCCAACAATTAATATACTACTAGGAGATACAATACACAGACAGACAGGCAGGCAGACTGACACACACACACACTACATTACACACGCGTACATAATGTGCACCCGCGAGCAAACACACACACACACACACACACACACACACAAAGACCAAAAATATGTCATTATGCTACTTCATGGAGTATATTGTCTACTTATCCTGACATTGGGGATGGGAGTAGGGTGATTAAAAGGGAGCTGGAGGTGCAACCCCCCCCCTCGGGATTGGTCCAAAGCGAGGAAATTAAGAGTATAGCTCGAATAAAAACCATTTTGCCCAGTATCATGAGAAATTGCCTAGCATAGCTATAACAGGGGAATGATTTACAACAGCCACACAAAATTTCGTATACTGAGAGTAGTGGCTCCTTGATAATATGCGTGTAGGGTCAAGTAGGAGACGTTCTCTGGACCTTTTTTACCGAGCACATCCCCCCCCCCTCCCTCTCCAAATAACCATTGTCACATAGAGCCACTCCATTTATTGCACTGGCTTCTATGGAGTCATATTTTAGACTCCTCACGATAGACATGTGGGAAAGTGTTTTTTTTAAAATCGAGTATCGTTGTCTGTCCGCTCAGATGGGGTTTCCAACTCAGCTTGGATGGGCCTGAAAGGCACGGTTGGAGCAGCCCACCTCTTAAATGGTCGCTTTTAAGGACAAGCGAGCTAACCCAGATTTCGGGGGTTTCCAGAAATCTTGACCTACACCAAAAGTGGGCAATGCCCTACCTGTAGGAGAAGTTTGGTTTCTTCATTGGTGTGTATATGTTTTTAGTTAGAGAGAAAATTTTCCTGGTCTTTTAAAGAAACTGAACAAGGGGCAAAAACTTTACCTTTGATTTTCTCAAAACAGCATTTTTCTGGATAGCCCCCTTGAGCTTAAAAGCGACCAAATAATCTCAGACATGCCAATTTGAGTGTAAATCATTAAAAATCAATCGGTGAAAAGCCCCTTTGCTGTAGTGGGCAACAAATGAATGAGAAGTGTTGAAAAACAAAAGTAAGAAACAAAACACTCACCTATTTTCCATTATTTCTAAGTAACCAGGTTTTATTTTCATTACCTCAAAAGAGGCAAAGAAGTCATAAATGCTTCTGTTCACAGGGCTTGTTATGAAGTTATTGCAGACCATAAATATCTTTTTTACAAGTACAAGGCAAGATTAGTTATAACATTATTCCGGCTGAGCCAAGAGATACACAATATATAAGTAAGAACAACATGTCTTGGATAGTGTTCACTGTTAGCGACTGAGCAGAATGCCTTTCTGGCTCAATCATCAAGCAAGCATAGCAAACACTTTATGTACATAGAAAGCAAAATTTTCAACCAAAAATGCAGAAAATACAAATCTATATTTTTAAAGACTGAAATTACCGTAGGAATGTTAACATCCATATTGCTTGCACTTCATGGGCCTTCGCAGCACAGAGCAGGCTCATCATCAATCAAGAAGAATACCATCTCTGTCCTACTCTTAAGTGTATCCCCAAATTAAGTCAGACACCTCTTTTGTCCGTTTGTTTGTTTGAGAAAAGAAAAGCACATGGAAACAATCAATGTCATTTAGTGCTGGGAAAAGGTAAGACAGACAGACAGAAACAACAGAGAGGGAAAAAAAGAAGAAATAGGACCTACCAGTGGCACACTCCAACCACCCGCTTCTTTTGTCTGAATTCTTTTTATTCACAACTACAATTACAATTGGTGAGACTGCAATATAATAATAAGTCAAAAAGACTACTCTGCACAAAACTGTGAGCAGTTCTGGAAGATAGTAAGAAAGAAATTGTGAGGGATCGTTGTGAAATCAGGTGCTTCTCAAAATACTGAAATCGAAGATATCAACATATTTTTTCCACCCGTTAGGCAAATTTTATTGACTTCTTTGTCTTGAGCTCAACGTCTTTTGTCTCCACTCTAAAACACAGTTCTGCAAGAATTTTAAAATGTAGTTTCCAAGGATACTACAGCTTTGGAAGTCACAAAATTTTGGCGGCCATTTTCTCGCTAATTCTACGTACTTCTGACACTAGGTGATCCCCATCTTTTTCAATTGTAAATAGCTCTTCTTCTATTAAAGATACATAGGTATTTTTTTCATCAAATGCGAGGCAAATGAACAAGCTTTAAGGTTATACCAATATAACTTCATACACCCAAAAACTGAGGAGCACCAGATTCCACTATACATCATGACACAATTACCTTGTTCCCCCCCACAAAGTGTTTGACCCAATTTGGCAGATACACCGTTAGAGTCGGACACTGACGATATTAAATACCTCCGATTGAAAGCGCGTCAAATCTCAATGATATGAAAGCCCCAAAACAAAGGATTTTGTTCAATATAAACAACTCAAAAGGGTCACTACCTTCTACAACATATTATGGCACTGAGTCAAAGAGCAATAGCAAAGTTTATAAACACAAGGCTACTGACAGCATCCAAAAACTACACCTGTTACAACAGTTAACAAAAACAACAACAGCAACAATTTGATTTACCCCCTCCTTTCTCAACTTCACAATCGACTGAACACAACAGCAGCAAGATATTTTGTACTGTTTTAGTTTTAGTAAGTGTTTTACGGCACTTGCAATACAATAAGGTAATATAAGTGCCGAAGATAAAAGGTGTTACAAGAGAGTAACAAACACAAAAAAGAAGAAGGAGAGATAAAGACGATAGATGTTTGATAGGAAAGAAGAAGCAAACCACACCAGAGCACACACCAACCACCTACTTGTACAGTTTAAAAGGGAGTAACTG